CAGAATCATATTCCTTCATCAAAAAAAAGTATGATGCGTAAATTCAGCCAACTAATTTTGAACAGTCCAAGAAATTCTGATTCCAAAGGCAGAAAATCCAAATTGTATTCCCATCTGGTTATAAAAAATATCACAAAAGATTCTTTACTGCTCTTTAATTATACCCAAATTTGCTGAAGGCAGACTTGTTATTCTGTTTAATTTTAGGGTCAGCCCTACAAATAATTTCTTCTGTTGTCTGATCAAATAGATTATGCTGGGCTTTGAGGCATAAAAAAAGCTAGCAAAGTCTGTACAACAGAAGAAAAATATGTTCACTCTAATATGTTCACTCTACACACAATGACTTTTTAGTATCAAATCACATTTACTGGTAATTCTGTGGAGAAATTCTGCTACAAGTTTTCCTGCTGTAATAGAAGGGTCAAGATTCATGTAAAATGGGAGATTTGAGACTGGATTCTTATAGACCGATTGTTCAAATTACTGACCTGCTGCCACCATCTAAACATTTGTATTAAATTTTACCTTCATATATGCACCTAATGGTTCCCACATTTCTCTCATGAGATTTGTTTAAGCAGTGTTGGATTTAGAGCATTGATTTGCTTCACTGTTCTGACCAAGGCTTCCGAGATCATAATTACGCACACATTTATTTTAAAAACAAGTCTTGTTTTATTGCAACGCTGGGAATTGTTTTCATTCTCAGCCGGTAATGAATCTCAAACAGTTCCTCAAGATAAGCACCCACCTTTCTTTCCTGTGAAGTGCTGCCAATAACAGATGTGTCAAATGAACTAGAAAAAACCAACCGAACTACAAAGAGCTTCAAAAATGAATCTGAACCAAATGAATGACTTTGCTTCCTGCAAAGATTTCATCATCTTTGCCTGTCCTTTATACCTTATGGGAGGGGCAATCACCTCCCAGCCTTACTCCCGAGTCGCCCCTTTTGTTTCAGCTGATCTCGTCTTGTAGCAGCTCTGCACACACACGCACTGGGAACAGGCTCCCCTGGGTCCTCTGCCTCGCTGCTGCCAGACTCCGGAGGCTCCGGAGGCAGCACCCCACTACCAGATGGTCCTGGCCCCATCTCTGCATCGGACGCAGGATCCTCATCCGAGTCCTCTCCAGACTCCCGGACTGATCCCCTTTCTTCCCTACTGTCCTATTCTGCTGCCCTCTGCACGGGCTGCCGGTGAACCATAACATTCACCCACTGCAGTAGGCTGTGGTTTGTTTTAACTGGTTTGTTAAATCATCCAGAATAGTTTGGTTCACACATTGCCATGAGCAATAAATCATGATTTAAACATTACAGTGTCACCTTTCATACTAAACCAAAGTAAATTATATGACTTTATCAAGTATATTATCTTTCTTAGTAGCAAATGTGAGTGCTCTGGTAAAGCCAAGTAAATAACTATAGACAGGGGTGGGATTGCACCAGTATAACAACCGGTTCGGTGATCGTGTTCACAAACCTTAGGGTCGTGAGTCAGAGTTTGAAAGTACTTGCTTTAAGTTTGTATAAGATTTAAAACACAAGTTCTTAGCCTTCTAACTTGTAAAAAAAGTAGCTGAGTCTACAAAACACCTTCACTTTCTTCCTAAAGGCCCTAATGCATTTATGAAATCTAGTTTTAAAAAAAGAGAGAGAGATTTATTTGCTGTTTGAATTTTTTTTTTTAATGTCTTGGAATAAGACCTTGGAATATTCCAGAGAATATTCCTGTTTGTAGATGTAAATATATCAATCTATTTATCCCAATTAGTATTGATATAAATATTACCGTGTTTCTCATATAATAAGGCCGGGTCTTATTTTTTTTTGAGCCCCGAAAAAATGGCTAGGCCGTCTTTTCGGGGGTGACTTAATTCCCCTCCTTGCATCTTCGGGCGGGTGGCGACAGCTTGGATGTTGACCTCGGCATTGGTGGGGCACTTCGTATCGGGGTCAACGCAGGCAGCACCATATCCGGGTGTGCAACAAAAGTACTTCCTAACGGCAAGCCCCCCCACCATTCCCCCCCATTTCGCATGTTTTAATATAGGCCTTAATTTGGGGGGAGGGGCTTAATTTCATTTCATGCCTATAAAACATGCTGGGACTTCCTATTGGGGGAGGCTGTATTGTTGGAGAAACAGGGTATATAAATAGATGGTTTAAAATTCCAATGATCTTATGGGAAAGGATGCAGCTTGTTGCAGAAAGGCTCCACCGACAGTATGGCAGCATAGTCTTTGTGAAGCCTGGTATCCGGGTTTGGTCCACAAAAACATCAGAAATAAATAACACAGAAGTAATTATTGTAGAGCTAAGCAACTGTATGGTCACCTCAATTTATAAACTGCAACTAACTGAGATCAAGGGTGACGAAATACATTTAATAAGGATAAAATAAATTTTTGTTATTGGTGACTTTAATAGTCACAGCAATATCTGGAAGTATCCCAATGACTATAGAAATGGAGAGCTCTTTTAAATGACAACAAATTATCAGCATCATTTAACAGTGGAAGATGGCGCAGGGGATATCACCCGGATTTGATATTTGTGAGCGATGTATTAAAGTAGATTGTTCACCTATTCCAATTTCCTAGCACCAGCCAATTATATTCCAGGTTACCGCTGTAGTTTGACCTCACAGTAACCCCTTTAGATATAATTATAACTTTTAAAAAGACAACTAGCTTAAATTTCAAAGACTATTGGACAGTGCTGTTAGTCAAATAATATCTAAACCAAACTATTATAACAAATTTGTGGAGGCTGTTAAAAAAATGTTCCTGGCTATCAATTCCACAGGGCTGTAACACCAACTAAATCCAGAGGAAACAAAAGACAAATTGCAGAAGTATCTCACTCTCAGCAGTTAATTATTTCTATAGCTGAAGCTACGAGAAAAAGCTGGATTGAAACAATATGAACATTTAAGTAGCCACAAAGCATGAAGATTGTTGAGTCACCCCCCCCCCCCCCCCGCAATTCACTCTAAAGATTATGCCAATGTGACAGCAGACCAAATAGCCAGTCAGCCTTCTTAAAAACAACAATCCAGATCAAAGGCCACCAAAACCCAAGATTAGGATCAACAGAAATGAGAAGGATGAAACAACTAATTTATTTAGAGAGACTATAAGTGTCAACATCCAGTTTGAGTATCCAAATAAAAATCCAGGTTCAGGAGAGAAAGCCACAGAAAGCTGCTGGCTTCGATAACATCCTTTTTGAACAGATAAAGCAATTTGGACCAATGGCACAACAATGGCTACTAGAAATGTTTAATGAATGCTTGGAACAATATAAGATTTCTAGTGTCTGGTGAAAGGCTAAGCTTGCAGCTAGCAGTTTTAAAATCAGGTAAAGAGGCCAATAACCCTAAGAACTACCATCCAATTTCTCTCTTGTGTCATACCTACAAAACCTTGCCCCCCAAAAAGTTGCACCGAATAGATCCTGCATTTAATTCAAGTACTGTATATCAAAGATGGATTCCAAAAGGGAAATGTAACAGGAACTGTAATTAGAGATCTCATGGCTGCATTTGATACCATCAATCTTAGAAGACTGAAGCAGAAAGTTTATGATATGACTAAAGATTTTAATGTTACAAATATCATTAGGCCTCTGCTTTAGAACCACATGTTTTTTGTAGCGTTCCAGGGGAGGCGAAGCAGATGAAGGAATCAAAGGAATGGCTTACTACAGAATAGTGTATTGGCTCCAATTCTTTTTAATATTTACACCTATGATCAGCTGCTCCCTGTAGGTAGCAATAAGTATATGTATGCTGATGATCAAGCAATGGCTATACGGAGAAAAACATTTGAAGAGGTTGAACAACTTTAAACTGAAGCCCTGGTAGAGCTGGATGGAGACTATTGTGATAACCAACTAAGGTCAAATCCAGCAAAAATGCAGATATGGCTTGCATCTTTACATCTTTGCAATAAGCAGACTGCACATGGAAAGGGGTGTTAGCGGAGCATTGTTATAGCCCTAAATAATTAGAGGGCACTCTAGATAGGGCCCTAACATATAAGCAACACTAAAATGAAGGTCAGTGGACAAAATAACATCCTTAGAAAATTTATGAGTTCTACCTGGGGTGCCAAACCAGGAACCCCTAAGACAATAGCTTTAGCTCTTTGCTGCTTGGCAAGCAAATATGCCTGCTCAGTCTGGTATAAATCAGCACATGCTGGGAAAGTAGATGTTGCTCTGAATGAAGCCCCCAGAATTATTACTGGGTGCCTTAAAGTAACCATCTACCATCTAGCTGGCATTGTCTCGCCTGCTGTTCATAGAGAAGCTGCAGCAGACAGAGAGAGAATGTCAAATCATCAATATCTTCTAGACAGCACCTGCTCTACAGCCTGCAACCAGTTCATCAGAGATTAAAATCTAAGAAAAGCTTCCTTAGGTCAGTGGAAGACTTCGAAGAATTTAAAAGCAGAGAGGACCTATGAAAAGCTACAAAGAACCAATGGATGGAACCAATGGAGGAACTAGCACCTGGGTCTGATGAAAGCTGGGAAGTATGGAAATCGTTGAATAGATTACACATGGGTACAGCAAGATTCAGAGACACTCTGAACAAATGGGGCTATCTGCCCTTTGCGATTGTGGTGACATGCAGAGAACAACACACATATGTATACCTGATCAGTGCACATTTAGGGGATCTCCTGGCAGCATGACAGAACGCAATTATTGTTGCCAGTTTCTGGGCAAGATCTGTTTAACTTGTACCTATTTTAATCCTGTATTTCATATTTTAAATTTATGCCATTTAGTATGCCTTGTTTTAGTTGTGATGCTTCTGACACGAATAAACAAACAAACGGGGAAGGATAAATGCTGTAAAAATAAATATTCAAGATTAATATACTGTAGGTATTTACCAGTATCCCGTATTAATTCCTTCGCTTCTGTTCTCTTGGCTGACTTCACCAGCTGCCTTTTTTTTTTTTTTTTTTTGGTTTCCTCCTAGGAATCAGTGATGATTGTTGTCTTTGGTTTGGAATTCATCATACGCATCTGGTCTGCTGGCTGTTGTTGTAGGTACCGTGGATGGCAAGGAAGACTGCGATTTGCAAGGAAACCTTTCTGTGTAATAGGTGAGTTGTTCAAGTAGGACTAATTTCATCTGAAAAACAGTACTGTTATACCTAGAAAAAGAGCCAGTTTGGTGTAGTGGTTAAGCCATCACAGTAGAAAGTGGGAAACCATGAATTCCATTCTCACCTTAAGCACAAGGCCTGGTACATGACCTTGAGCCAGTCAAGCTCTTTCAGCCCTAGACAAAGGACAAAAGACTTCTAAAAATCTTACCATCAGTTAGTCCAGCAGTTTACAGGAGCGAAGACTGACTCAAAGGCATTAAAAAAAAGTTATAGAAACCACAGAATTTTGTTTCCTATTATTCTGAATCAAATTCTAGGTTACATTTGACTGATTCCATTTTGAGAAAGAGTTTTTGCATGTTCTGCTTTTGCTATTGGTGTTGTCAAGAAACTGCAGGTCTTTTCCTTCAGTATAAGGAAGCTCATACCTAATCCATATTATTCCTGTCCAAGTTCCGTAGTTAATTAATTAACTAATTAATTTAGCTAGGGAAAAATAGCCTCCCATAAAGCATGAGCTGAAATCAATTCATATATCAATACAATTTAAAAGTTTCATATTGCCATGAAATCCTTTAATCGCAAATGGAGCATAACAGAATTTGGCATTGCCAAAAATGTAGAGTCAAACTTATCAGCCAGAAACAGTTGAATATAAAAATGTTCTATATATCCTGGGAAGTCCACAAAGAGATGTAATATATCTATTTCTAATACGTCTGTAAAAAAGGCAATAAAGGGATTCCATTACATGTGGCAAAGTGGCATGTAAGGGAGTAATCAACTGTTACAAGGGATTATTTTGAATTTTCCTTCCCATGCAGAAGTAAGCAATAATTTAGATATGATAAATGCTACCTCTGCAGAATTTTACAGCACATTTTAATCTTTGTAGATCTAGTTTGTGATTAATTCACAATCAGCTCCAACACAAATAATCCATTTGGTTATTACAGTCCCCTTCTCAAAAAAAAAAATTAAAGAGACATTTCATATTTTATTTCTAAATTTGATAGATGTTTGGTTGATATTTTCACAGATGAACATAATTGCTGAAAAAGCACAAGGGATTTAGAGTTTTCCTTATATATTAATGTTTGGTCTAATTTTATGCCTTATTTAAATTATGAATCATTTAATCAATTCTCATCAGTGTGATTGCTATGAAGGAATAAATATATAGTCACAATTATATATTGGAATTATCATAATTACCCCTTAAACTTCAGGAATTTATCCTAGTGAAAAAATTGTACAGTAGTATTATTTATTATATGGCCCTCTCATCTTTCTTCAGAAGCTCAAGGTGGTATACCTGGAACCCTTTCTTCCATTTGCCCCTTAACTACCCTATAAAATAGGTTGGGTTAAAAGAAAGTGCTTAGCTCACATTGGATTGGAACCTGGTCTTTGCAGTGGAAATTCAACCACTTACTCCTACCCCGTAATGGTTGTGCTTTAATGTGGTATTAAAATGGATAAATAAAAGATCATTAGGATACTAGATATGTCTCCATTTTTTCCATATAAACTATATAAACTTATCAAAAAGATAGAAAATATGAATCAGTTGCCTTTCTTGGAAAAAACCAAAAGGGGAGAACTCAAAAAGAAAAGAACTTTCAGCTACTGGCCATTTAGTAGCTCCACTGCTTCTCAAATAAAAATCCCATAAATACCACTGTAAAGTGGGAGAAGCTATCTCCTCTTTCACTATCAAGTGATATATTATAATTTGATTGATGTGAGCTGCCCAGAACCATTAAGAGTTGAGCAGCATACAGGTTTACTATTGTATCTTCCCTCCATGTATTAATTTATCCAGCATACTTACTCATTTCTTATTGTGACCTTAGATGGTAGTAGAAAAAGGAAAAGAAAACCTAGGCCTTGCTATTGTGTTTATAGTACCCAATCTTGCTAATAAAGAAAGACATGGTGCTTTTCATTATTGTAATATCTGCATTAGTCATTTAATAGTTGGATTACCATTCTATGGATGAAGTATTTTTACATCTTTAGTCATTTGAATTCCCAAGTAGTTAATGCTTGAAAATTGTGATGCAAAGCCAGATAATTTGTGCATAGTTAACTGAGCAGCTAGAACAGTACACAAATAAATGAGCTGTGACTTTCCACAATTTATTTTTAGCTCTGCAAACTTTCAAAAGGGGGGGGGACCCTAATCTTTTAAATCTATTGCATTGCTTTAAGAAGATTAGATAAAAATGTATCAACCACAGGTTATTAGTATGGAATTTATGATCAATTGGTGTTCTTTTGATCTGTGGGTTCTTTCTGAATATCCTAAGTAATGGCTATATGGGATTGCAGCAACATTGGAAAAGAGTGGACAGTTATGATATGACCCTCTTTTATATCAACATATTTAGCATAGTAATTATTAATATGGAGTAGTGCTTCTTCTGCTGATAAATTTATACCTTAAAACTATCCCCAAGGTATGATATTGTTAATTAGACATAACCAATTAACCCTGTCAAAAGCCTTCATTGCACCTAGAAAATAGCTGTTGAAAAGCTTTTCATGTTAAATACTGTATTGAGTACTAATTAGGAACGAAGCACATTTAATCAAATGAAATCAGGCCCATTTATGGAGGGATACTTTTCTGAATCATTGGCTAAGCAAAAAGGGAGCATATTTTGAGCAGAATGAAGGTTGTGGTGTTTCTAACCTTAAAAGCTACAAGAGCAATTTTGTTCTATGTATTCTTCAAGTTACAATCATCATTTATCTGTACTTTCCTGTTCTTATAGATGTAGTTATTTTCTTCTCGTTATCAGCTTGCTTTTCCTTTTCACTTTCTTTTTTTCATGAAGCAAATTATGTTTTTATTGTTTTGTTTTGTTTTTAGCCTCTCAATTCCTTCTGCTCTATTTTGTCAGATTCACAGAAGTCTGCAATTTTTTTTTTTTTACTCATACAGTGTTTCACTAGGTTGTTTCTCTGTATTTGCCACCTTGGCGATATTCTCTCATGTTGCCTTCGGACTTGTAGCTATGCAACAGAAGAATTTCCAACTTTTTCATTTCAATTCAGTTTCAGTTTCCATGGATTATTTCTTTCAGTCACCCTTTCAAAATGTTATTTACCCGTAATTTTTTGCTATTATTAATTTTCTTTCTTCTTCTACAACACGTCCTCCTGTTTTTTAAAACTGGTCTGACTACTTTCCCTTTCATAAAAATTTCAATTTATTACTGTTTTCTTTTCCATATGCCGTTACTAAATCATGTGTTTCCTTATCAAGTCTCCCAAATTTTTGATTCTTCTGATTTAGATTACATTTTTAAATTCAATGATTTATATGCAGTGCATATGCATCTTTGTGCATATTTAGTCCTGCTAAGTGTTTGTTAGCTTTTTTTTTTTTGCTCTCTTTTTGTTTGCTAAGCCCAGTATTTGCTTTTTATTTCTGGAATTCTAATTTTATTGTTAGGGTTAGATTTCACAATTGCAATGGTGACATGTTTTGATTTAGTATAAATAATATAACTGTATTAGTTTTGCTTATTTCACCATCATCTTTTCTCTTCACTTACTCTATTGCTAGGTTGTTTTTTTTAAATTATTTTGTGTTCTCTTATCTCTTTATTGATCTTCTCATTCTTAAATTTCTAGTACTATTTTATATCAAGTCACATCTCAAACTTGATTATTTAGGCTTGCCCTTTTTAAATATTCACTCTCTCTAAAATTACACTACTATTGATATTTTAAAAGTTTAATTTCTCCATAAATTTTGGCTTTTAAATAATATTTTAAAGAGTTTTGTTTGTTCATTTATTCTGGGATTAATTTTCTCTTTCCATTCCCTTTGTAAGTTAAAATTATTAAGGCTATAATTTATTCGGTCAATGACCAGCAAAAATAAAAAAATACAATGCCAAAATAAAATCAAACAGATGAGTTAAATGAGATAAGTCTGTGGGCAAGACCAGTCTTATTCAATAGGTCGGACATTGTTTTAAATACTCTTAAGGGATGTTTTATTACTGCTGAGAACATTGGGCAGGTTCTTTAGAATGCCATCCCACTTTGCACTCCAGGCTCCGTCTATCACATCTACCTTCTCACTGGTTTTTAGGTTAGCCATGAATAAAATGGGAGAATCTGAAGATGCTTCCAAGCAGGGGTTTTATAGTCCAGTGGCTATACTGCAAGTGTGAATTTTTAAAGTAGGTCTAAAGATTCTTGCCTTCCTCTTGTGATATTTCTTTCCCTCCAACATTCTATCTTTTATTTAATCAAAGAAAGTTGGCGAGTGGGAGGAGGAGAAATAATATATCAACTGTTTTTTTAACTGATTGCTTTAACTTAATCCTATCCTCCACCCCCTCTAGAGGAAACCTTGTCTATATTATCTGTGGGAAGGGTAGTCACGGCAATTTTATCTCAAGTTTTTATTTTGGTGTAGCTTAGATTCATGACTTTGAGGCATGATGTAAAGAAATGTTTAAGACAGTACAACAAAATGATCATTTCCTGTGATATATATATATATTTCTTTTATCCAGCACTCACCTTTAGTTTTTAACCTGTCATTTTAAAATTGAAAGCAGTCCTCCGTTATCTTAGAGGCAGACCTGTATCCCAAAATAAAAATGTAAGGTATGGAAAAACATACTAAGAACAAGTATGGATAGGACAGGAGTAGGAAGGTAGCAATTCTTTTTTGCAACCAGCTCTACACTAGAAAACAGATTTTACCTCTGTGAATTCCCTGTGTAAGCAAGGATTTGAAAATTTTCTTAATGCTGCTTGCATTAATGGACAAAACGGGATACAAGACAAACAAAACAACATCTGGTGCTAAAACAACAAAAGTTAAAAACCATGACAGGAAAAGCTCTGACACCAAGCATTAGCTAACAGCTGAAGATTTGGTACTTCTCCAGCATTTTGAAACTAAGGTAATGCTTTAAAGCATCTCCAACAAATAACAGATATGCTGTATAAGACTAGTATCT